TAAATTCCTCGCTAAAATATCGTGGCCAGCGAAAAGCAGCGAGCGGTACGCGATCGTGATTTCGCGCAAGGAGGGATTGCGATCTGAATAAAATTCGCGCGATAGCTTATCCTGGAAACAGCGATTACGTAAACGCATCGTTGCACAAGAAGCGGTAAGTGCCTATCAGTTGGCAGATTACGATTCTCGTGCGCCGATTCCGTTCGGTGAAGTTACAAGCTGTGTGATCGAGGAGTATTCTCGAAGAATTTCAAGTCGAGAGAAAAGACAAAGATAAGAATTAACATTTTTGCCTACACTTGTTAATTCTGTTTAATTTTTTATCGTCACATAATTTAAAATTTTTCTTTCTTCTCAAGCTTCTTCTCTAAATCGAAAACCTGCGATGTCGTAAAGTTTGACAAATCCTTTCCCATTACATACGTCGTATAAGGACTCTCACAGTCTTATCGGAAGCGAGAAAACAGGGAAGCGAGAAAACACGGAAGCGATAAACGCGAAGTGAAAAAGGTGTTTTTCGAACGCGAAAAGCGGGGTCAGTCGTGAGACGACCATGTGTCACGAAACATCGTCATTCTCGCCGGCTGATATTTAGGTCGTGTTAACAGTCGCGACGCGACTGGCGGGAGCGTTGTTAACGAAATGTAACGCTCAATAGACCGGTGTATCCGCCCACACGTACGCACATATACGAGCACGCTTCTCGCATACACGTCAAGGTTAGTGACATGCTTCTTATCTCGAAGCACCACTGCCGCCGTGCCAAGATTCGCTCGAGACGTCCGATTTGTCATCTCTGACGATGTTTTCGTACCGCAAAAACAGAAAATTTTGATAGAAAATAATAAGATTTTTTCCTCCAATTATGCCATACACGACCAGCTAAACTCGAGAATCTCGTAGCAAAAACGAGTGAAATTTTAAATAATTGACAGTAGTTTATTATTTCAGACTGATTATTATTATAATTGCAGAGATTTCTACTTCTTCGGAAAAATGAATAAAAAATAATAAGAATATATTTTTTACGTATTCGAAATTAAGTGTTCTTGTAAAATTATGCAGAATTGTGTTTACTGTACGATTAAAAAAACGAAACAGAAGCATCTGTAAAGAAATTGCGGAATGGTCCGACAATAACAACGTGACACGAATTCAAGACGTCAATTCCAGAGGTCTGACTCATTCGCAACTTAATCATGGCGTAACATGCCACCTATTACGTACGGAGCAAGTGGCGGACGTTATGAGGGGCCTAGCGTCTTCCGCTTTAGACGTTTATAGACATCGGTTTCACGAATTAAGCCGGCTTTCGCGTCTAATCTTCACTCTCGTGGCGTGGCCCGTAATAACGCGATCACCGAAGAAGAAAGCATTCGTGGAGCGACAACAATCATAATTCGAGAGGTATTTCACGAGCGAACTTTCATTAGAAATTGACGGAGAACGGTATACGGGCGAGAGAGTTAATAAGGTATCCAAGCTTGCCCTTTTCGCGGAGTCGCTCGCAACCGCATTCCCACGGTATTACGCAAGTGTGGCGCAAGGAGTCCGGACGTGACGGCGTTCGGGTGCACGCTTTAACAAAGCCCACACTTGTCTCGCGAATTCGAAGCCGCGCGAACAATCGTGGAGAATTAATTAATACGCATCGCAAAAATCTTATTGCACTTATCTCACATATTGCACAATGAATTATGACGCGGCGGGTGATGCGATGATTTCAGTTTCTAACGACGCTGGAGCACAGTTTTGTACCCGAGCAACATTCATTCGTGCAGGGCACGAATCTGCGCGCACCGCGGGGTATTATTTCCGGACGAAGTGGCATAATGCTCGGGCTCTCGAGTTCGGGGCAAACTCGCATCCGGGCGAGTCTGATGGTAGTTAACCGATTTCGCAGGGAGGTGATAAAGGATAGGGTGGATGAAATCAGTTCGCCGCGAAGCACGCATTGCGGAGCCAACAGCGTGACGGCAAACGCGATGCTTCCACCCCCGGGGCTGTTAGTTTTCTCCTTCGACGGTCTATTCGCTTCCCCTAACTGCCGTGATTGCGTATTAATTTCTGATCGCCGAGCATCGCGCAACCGATCGATTCATCGCGCGTAGACTCGAAAGAGAGAAGCGTAAAGCTGGAAAGTCACATTATTATTTGTAATCGCAACATTGTTATTCACACGAATAACTTGCTTTACGAAATTGCGAAAATGCACGATTTATCTGGCGCGAGCGCAGATAAGATATATTCAACCTCGAGATAAGGCAAGTCTACACCGCGCTCGTCGAGTGGCGACTCGTATAGCCGATTAACCGAGTAACGTAGCGTGATGATAATATCACACTGAGTGTTTAGTATTATATTATAGTGTGCGATTCAAGTTGGTATTAGGATAATCTTGGAGATGAACATAAATACATATTTTTTTTTTCTTTGACGAAAAATATGTATTTCGTGATATGTTTGCAGCGTTGCGCAATCAGATTTGCTTCGCGATCAACAAATTTCTTTTCTGTTACAGCGATAATTAAAGTAAAAATGGACGTCGGACATGATTTCAGCGTAAAGTGTTTACATTTTTGCCGGTAAAAGCCGTTTATCATTAGCATGTATTTTCACACAAATAGTGATTTGAACACCGATAAATCCTCGCATCGGATTAGAAGAAAGAATGATCTCGTATTTTCGATATGGCTGAAAGTGGTGCAAACTCGGGGAAAGTAATTAGTTTGAAGGGAGCGCAGGTTAAAGTATTTTTTTATTCGGAGCCGCGGCGAAGCGATGCATGAAAGGAGGAGGAGATGCGGAGGGCGAGGAGGTGAGTGGGTGGAGTGCAATATTGACGCGAACGGTGGCTCGGGCATGCCGTTATCTGCCAATCCCCGACACACACCTTTTGTCCTGCGAAATTGCTTTGCGAAAGCGTTGCGAGAGCTTTCTCCGACCGAAACCTTTTTCCAGCGTCTCTCGCATCCGTTGTGACTTACGCCGTGCCTCTGCTTCTGACACAATATCACACGATCGCACGAATGTAAAGGATTAGTACTCAATGTAATACTTGTGCGATATTTATGCGCCATTTCGAGACAAAACTAGCTTCGGAAGTACGAAATTTGAATTTGATGAATATGTATTTACGATTAATAATCGTTAGTGTCTGAAACAATTTTAACACGTCTTTACTTAATGCACGACGCAAGAATTATCATAAATTCTCGATCATTACAACTCGCTCGCAAGGTACAGCTCTTAATACCGCACGGCGAGTTTTATATTTCGTCGGGATATCATCAAGGAGACGAGGCTGCGAGGATGGGGAGAGTTCATTTCTCTTTATGCCTACTATAATGTGCTTTATTCCGCGGAACGTAAAAGGGGAGGACGGCCCGTTTGCCGGGTACCGAAGGAAGCGTCTCATCCACCTTTACGACGGCGGCGAGCATGCTGGTCCTGCGATTGGCGGGAGGATGCTGCGGGTAGAGAAAGCTGACGGAATATCGTATTACATCTGCGGAAGACGCGAGATTATTCGAGCTCGGGCCGGGAGGGACACGGGCGGGTGGACGAGGTGGGCGAAGAGGGGGGGGGAAAAGCAGAGGGAAACGTAGAGCGCCCGATTCTCTATTAGAGGGTAATACGTATTATCGATTTTGGGATGAAACGGGAGGTTATCCCGGTTCAAATCATGACAAATGTATAGATATACACCGACGCGCTCGCGCAACCGTGCACCTGTGTGTATGTGTGTATGTGTGTGTGTTTGTGTATATATGTGTGTGTCGGTTGAAGCGCTTCCCGCGACCGCACCCCGGAAAAACTTTTTCCAATCTTTCCGTCCTCCCTCTTTTCCTCTTCCCCGCGCTACAGCCGTCAATTTGTTTACCCGGCCGAAAACAGGTCGTCGACTTGGAGATCTCGCAGAAATCCTCGCCAGCGGCAGATAGCCTAAGCCTAAGCGGATTCGTCTTTGGAATCCAGCAATAATTGCCTCGAATTTTCTGTCACATTTCGATTATTTGTTCCGATCAAGGATTAATGATTTTCGAAAAGTGAATCGAAATCAGGATGACGCATTATTTTTCAAAAAAATGATCTCATTTTTTATTATGATTGATTGAATACATTAAGATATTTTATTGAAGCGACACTAATAACGGTGACAGTAATTTGTAATTATGGGATCGCCCATTAATAATTAATATTAGTAATAATTATTTAATCATTGATCCCTTTAATTACGTCCACTGTAAAATTAATCATAAAAATAATTACCCATCGCTCAACACTGATATGAACTATGCAGCGCTGTAAATCTAAAATATTGCGACGTAATACGATAATACATAAAATACGCACGTTTGAAATGTAAAGCGTCGGAACAATGCGAAGTAATATAAAAAATTCAGTTGCGTGCGATGGAAGTTATTTGAATTCATCGCGCGTCACACGTAGAATCGCGTGCCGTCGATCTTTCGATTCGGGAGATGATTCGCTTGTCGAGATTTACGAGTCGCCGCGCCAGGACCCGGCTCTCCTCGAAACAAAACGACGCTCTGCGGGCGACCGTCGGCGATCCGTACAAAGACAGCGGCTGAAAAAGCGTCGCGAGTATTGACAGGTACGGTGAGAAACTGCCCGGGTTAATCGTAGAAAAAGCTGTGGAATCGAGCTCGGCGACACCAGCGACGAGTTAAATACCTCGCGTCAGATCGGTCGTCGAGCAACAGAGTACAGAAAAAGCGGCAGTCTTTAAAAGACCGCTGTTTTCTCGAAGAACTTGATCAAACGATGATCGATACTGCCGAGGGGAAATAATAAAATTATGCAATCGGTAAAAAGAATTGACGCGACAAATGTATCTCTCGAAAATGTTTATTGCCGGCAGATTGCTGAAAAAATTAAACACAAGCGTAACGCGTTACGTTCTTTGTTTCCTATTTATATTTCGAAGAATCTATTCGGCGGTGACTCATCTGTCCGTCTTCTTCTCGTTTCAGCAGCAGAAATTCCTGAAGAGGACGGCCGAGGAGTTAGAGCCAGCCACTGGCGCTAGTGGCGACGGTGGTTTCGGCGAGCCGCCGGTCAAGCTGCAATGCACGCAGCCGCCTCACCAGCATCAGCAGGGTCCGGGCGGTGGTGGTGGCGGTGGGCCTCATCACGGCCACGGCCAGCATCAGCCGGGCAACGGCGCGAATTCGGCGGGTCCGACGCCCGGCGGCGGGGGCGGCGGTGGCAACGGTGACGGAAACGAGGGTCTCACCAAGTTTCAAGTGCAAATTGTCCAACAGCTGGAGTTTACGACCTCGGCGGCGAACAATTCGCAAGCGCAGGCAATTTCTACGAACGTAACGGTAAAAGCGCTAACGAATGCGTCGGTGAAGAGCGATCTCCTGAACGCGTCTTCCTCGCCGAAGCCCGGCCCGGACGCGTCTGCGTCTAGACCGCAACCCGGAAACAGCAGCGGTCCCAACGGTCCCGGTCCAGGTGCCGGCGGCGGCGGCGGCAACGGAAACGGCGGTGGCGGCATCGGCTGTGTCGATATCGGTAATCTGGTCGAGTGCAAACAGGAACCCGACAACGAGTTCGTCGACCTGGAGCAGTGCGCCGCGGCCTTGGAGAAGGACGCCGCGGCGAACGGCACCGGATTTCCCGGCTTTTCCGAATTTATGGGCGACGACACCAACGACGAAATTATCACATCGGACGCGTTCAAGGATCTCATCTCCGAGATATCGGATTTCCCGCCCGAGTTTATGAAAGACTTCGATTTCGAGGACAAGAGCGTCGATACGTTGACGAACAATGCTGCGGCCGTGGCCGCGGCGGCGGCAGCGGCGGCTGCCGCAGCCAATAATAGCAACAATACTAACAACGGGCTCTCGACGACGAACAACGGGCAGATCAAAATTGAAGACGACAAAGATGCGATTCATCAACAGCAGCAGCAGCAGCAGCAGCAGCAGCAGCAGCAGCAGCAACAGCAGCAGCAGCAGCAACAGCAGCAGCAGCAGCAGCAGCATGCCAATGGCGTAAACAACAGCGTCAACAGCAACAATGTTAACAACAACAACGGCAACGCGATGCCCGCAAACTCGAGCCCGGGCGCTCTCGGTACCTCACAATATTCACCCGCCCGACTTCCTTACTCCGGGCTGGATTTCAAATCCGAGATGAGTCCCGCCGCGCAGACGCTCAAGCAAATGGCCGAGCAGCATCAGCACAAAAGTCAGCAGCTCGGTCTGGGCGGATTCAATCCTACGGCAGCCGCAGCGGCCGCAGCGGCGCGAAACCCGACAGCGAGGTCTCCGTACGCCGAATTTTCTCAGTTCAGCGGCGCGTCCGATTATCTCGGCAGTCCCGGCAGCACAGGTCCGGCCGGTGGACAGACCCAAGCTACGGCCCCGGGAACCGGCTCGTATCACAAAAATAACGGCACGCCGACCTTCCAGAGTCAACAGACCAACGATATGTTTGTCAATTCACAGTCTCAGTTCGCCGCGGCGGGTTTGACGGACATGAAAAGGCCCCAGCCGGCTGCGACCGGCGGCAAACCCGGCATGCTCGGACCCACCGGCGGTTACAAGCAACAGTATTCGCCATACGGCAGTCCGGGCTCGATGCCGAATCACGGCAGCCCGGGATATCTGCCTCCCAGAGGATCGCAAGGAGGCGGGCCCAATCAAACTGGCTCGCAGGGACCCTTCAACACGACTTCCACACCACCGAGGCCTCCTTCTGGACCCGGCACTTCGACCCTGCAGATCAATCAGGCGCAGCAACTGCACATCGGCAACCAGATACAGGTAAGTGGAACGATCTTTCGCGCAAAATCGATATCTTCTCGAATGAACGAGACTCGCATGAAACAAATTTACTTCGCAATGTCGAAGGGAAAGAAATTGTCGCGGAATTATATCGCGGAATGCATTGTCCAATTAACGAAAAAAAAGTATAATTTTTCGTAAACTGCATAAATATATAATTTATTATTATTTGCGTATCCGTCTTTTCGATTCCCAATCATCGAAATGTGAATACAATACGTCGCGCTTAGTGTTCTCTCGAATTGAGCAAGACAAAGTTACCGCGAATTAGCGCAAAACTCTCAACGAAATATCTCTGGAATCCGCATCGGGCTTCCGAGTTTCGACATAGCGGCTTCTCCCGGCCGGGATGCCAATCGCCGTTATCGCGGCAATCAAGACGGGCGGCGCGCGAACGAAGTAACCGAGAGCTACTCGAGGCCGAGCCAAGTGATATCTGTTGCGCCGCGACGACGCGTCTATTTTTGTCGGCGGCATCGCGGGGCGTCGTTGGCGACGGCGGCGTCGAAGGGGTAGCGGCGGCGGCGGTGGCGGCGGCGGCGGCGGTAGCGGCGTTGTGGCGTCGATGAAACGCGGAGATACGAGGGGGGTTGGGAGGGAACGCCGGCGTCACAGGGGCGCCGCAACGCGCAACAAGTAGTCTCATTCCTCCCGCCGACGGCGGCGGCAGTGGTCCCTCTTTATAAATTTTCCCTCTCGCCAGAGCCCACCCTCCGCACTCTCCCATCTCCCCTCTCTCCGCGCCGACGCTTCCGGACGACGGTGGGGAAGGCAGCCGAGGGGTTGTGCGGCCGCGCACAGCCGGCGTCGCGACGCCACCGCCGTCTGCTCGATTTAACCTGCGCCTGCAATCCGCGTCAATACGCTCCGGAGTGGTAGTCGCGGGGCTGCGCTCGTGACAATACGCACGCGACGCCGCTTCGCGACGAACGCGTCGACAGGATAATCCGTCGTCCATGCGTACAAAGGAATGGACGGATGACAAAAAAGGGATCGCTGCTCCAAATTAAGAGTCCGATTTAATTTGCAACGCTATCGACGAGGGAGGTTCTTTGAATAATCGTTACGAACACATGCAAACATGCTTCTGAACAATAAAAGCTAATTGTTAGATTGCTGGCGCGACAATTGAGCTCGATTTTGCTTTATTTATCGATAAAAATTATCAGTAAAATTTGCAATGACCGTATAATGTAGTAAAATCTAAAACCGAAGCTACTTTCACTGCCAATTAAACGAATCTTCGCGTGAATCACGCAAAATCCACAAAAGATTTCGGAGCAAGTCACAATTGGCGGACGGGTCGCAGAAATTCGCATGGTCAGCTGCGTCTCTTTTACGCCAATCCGTGGGAACTTGCTGACCGAGAGAAAATCGGTGGTTTCCCGGCGCCGCGCGCGAGTACCTGCCGCCATAAAAGCCTTCTCGGTCCATTGTGGCGGCTGTTCGGACAGATCTTATCTGCTCGTACGCCGAACGGATTTGGACTCGGGTGCTCCTAGTCGCTCGCTCGTACGAGCACGTTTCTCCCTCGTAAATCACGTTAGGTGGCGCGTATTTGCATCTCAATGCGCCGAGGCGAATGACGCCTCCACCCCCTTCTACTCTTTAGCCAAAACCCACTATTCCGGACCGACTTATACTTGCTCGCGAGTATCACTGCTTCGCCGTACTCAATTTTGTGTCGCCGATTTTCATTTCTCGCCCAGCCACCGTGCAGTTGAGGCGATTTTATTCAAATCGATACGCGCAATCTTGTTCGCGTAAATATCGTCGATACAACAATGATATCATTGCTATCGCTGATATCGGGAAATTCTCGTGACGGCAGAGATTTTTGGTATACGATACGATAATGGGATCAGCGCGCGCGATACCGTGCAGTTATAATTAATCATTCTCTTCAGCGCTCCGAATCATTGAACCTTGCAGCAGCGGATCGCGCGATACGCTTCGTCGGGATATCCGAGAGCACGTAAAAATAAAAAGATAACCGAATATATCAGTGTTGTAATCTTTGATGTCTGAATATCGAGAGTCGCGACTGAAACGCGATGCAAGCGAAATCAAATCGATAACTTTTTCGTATTTTCCTCGAGCTTTCTATGCCTTTTTTTCTACGAGACCTTTTTTACATCGCGTCAACACGTCATTTACACGGCGTACACCGGAAACCGAATTTCGCTTCAGGACCCACGCGATGTCATGCGATCGATTTACATACCGTTACATGGCAGGTTTCCCACATTTCTTTTTTCCTAACCTCTCGTCGCCGGACTCTCTGAATCGGTGCCGTTATCGGAACGGAAGTTCATCGAAACGGGACACGTCGTTCGCTTATCGAAGCACCGAAATTTTTGCTCGGCTGATATTTGGTGGTGTATTTCGAAGTCGTTGAAATCGCGCCGACGGATCTTTCCTCGAATTTCGGAAGAAAATCGGTGAAATTAAGAGTTTAAAAAAATTTAGTTTATCAAATGCCGTTCGATCGTTGCCACCATAAATTTTTAATATTACTCATTTATCGACTGATAAAATAATTTTTTATTTCACACACATTATACTTGGTATGGAATGTATAAATTTAATTGGACACGGGAAAGAGAGCGACACGAGTATCATCGTGGGCGGGGAAGATCGACGTATCGAAATGCCGTGCAAATCAAACGTGCCGCGCTGTAATTCGTAAAACTCATTCGGTAAATACAACGCGATCGATACGATTTGCGAAGCTTCCCTCCGTCCCCGCTTCGTAAAAGGGCGTATATGTTTATGGGCGTTGAGCGAGTTTTCGAAACATTCGCCCGCCCCCGTACGCTCGCAGCGAATATTAATTCATCGCTAATTACAGGAATCGGGAGTGGTAGCGTTTTGCAGCAAGTGCGTGCAAATGTTCAATAAGAATTTATTACCGAAGCTCGTTATCGGCGTGCAATCATTGACGCATTTTGACGGCATCCGTCAGGATTTCTGCCCGCTCGATCGCGGCGGGGAAAATGGACGGTCGCGAAGTATCTTTCGCGCAAGAAGAGTGGATATAACGCGTGGAATGGATTGCGTGGAATTTTCTTCGTATCGCGAGCTATGTCGGGAATTTCACGCAGATGAAAACGCTTCCAGCGGCGTAACTGGCGAGGGTTGCAGCATCCTTCTTACCGTCTCTGCACGAGTACCCTTCTCATTCTCTTAAACAGTATAAGTTTATGATGAGTTGAAAGTTGATTAACATGTTTCACTACGTTGATTAATGGCTTATTTAAGTAACAATTCATTTTTCTTTTTTTATCTTACGTATAAAAAATTCGAAACGATTGCTGTGATATGATATTGCGCCACAATAGGCGTATCGATTTTGATTCGATCAGTCATACCGCGGGTGTGCTGACCCCGAACCGCGCGATCGGTATTCTGTTTAGATACTGCCGCGATAAATGAGATAAATAAGATCGACGTTGATCGTTGGAAGTAAAAACAGGACAACTGCGTATGGCTAGTAACCTCGACTTCACCTATGTAAAGCAGCGTCCGTGGCTTAATTGACGAAATATTCAAATCGCCGATTCTGAGGCGCGTATTGGAGCGACCGAAGGAGTGGTCGCGCCACGCATTGAAATGATAATCGTTGCATCGGGTGTACGCTTCTCCCTCCTTCTTGGGGTGGACACGTTTCCTGCTGGTGTCGTTTGTTCGCCATGGAAGAGATCGATGAGATATGCGCGACAGCTGAAAAGGGTTATCGATGCCGGCAATTGTAAATCTACATACCATAATGAACGCAAGAAGGACGTCGTTTCCTTTTCGCGTGACCTTCATCTTGACCTTGTATAATGCAGAATCCACCTTCCTGCCCGCTTGCCCATTTTGTCGGACAGTCGACGGCGTCTCGTTGCGCGTCGCAAGTGAGCTCTTACAGTCCGCTTCTGTCGAGATGTCCATAATCATTGGGCGAAGCTGTTGATTGTTTTTGTTCCGTACATTTGTTGACTAGCAGCGAAACACTTTGACGCCGATCCCTGTTGCTTGCCGATAAAAAAAAACCGCTATTCCGTGTATCGCCATGTATGGGTATCCGCCGTATTTCCCCAGCTAGCGGATATACTAGAACGCGTTTATATTTGCACACTCATACGCGGCGACGGGAGCCATGAAACAGCCGGTGCAGCGCGCCGCTCGACTCGTGTGTGTGTGTGCGTGTGTGCAACGTTGTTCTCAATTTGTTTCTACACCGCGCGTGTACCACTTGAAACGTGATTCGATAATGAAACAGCACTCGTCTGTCGTCGAGCCGAATACCTCATGTTATTCGACACATAAACGCGATTCGCCAAGTATCACCCTCGCGCTGTTAATTTTACGAAACATATGATTGACTTTTAACTATGCGACAGGCTGACGCGCTTCCGTTCGATGAGTATTTTATCGCTTTCAATTTCGCACGTTTTTTTTTTCGCGTTTACGTGCAACGTCAGTATTTCGCATATGTTTTTATGGCCTCGATTAATTTTATATGTTTAGATTGCATATTTGATAAATGACAAATATATATATATATATATGTGCATAGGAAATCCAACACGACGCTCGGGAGAATCGACGTTCGTTGCGCGACACAAGCGGCAACGATAAATCGTGAATGGCGTGGCGTAAATTAACGCCGCGCTCTTATCGAAGAAGGACACGGCGATGCACCGACACTTCGCGTAATCGCCGCGTCGTTGCAAATTGCGACGCCGCCGCGTCGCCGTATATCCTCGCGTACGCTGCGCAATTCCTATCGCGCCACGCGCTAAGCGTTCTACAATCCTAACCGGCAAATACGTGTTTTACTATCACGGGTGGGTCATGCGCGAACGGGCCAGGTATACCGTCCGTCCGCGTGCTGGTCTGCTCGCGCGTATCTAAAGTCCGTTTCACAAGCATACGTGTGCTGTCTTATAGACTCAGCTCAGCGAAGTAACTGGAAAGCATATAGAAAATGA